CGCGCCTCGGTGGTGGCGGCGCCCACGTGCTTGGAGCTGCTGCCCTCTGAGATGCCGCCAGCGGTGCTGGGCAGGAGCCTGTCTGTACCTGGGCGCTCTCATGTAGGCCCTGCGGGTCTGCATCCACGTCCGTGGTTCTTATCGGAGCCCCCAGGCATACGCCAGCACCTAGGTTTCACTCCTGTTTTCTTGCCCACCGAAGAATGCCAGAGCTGAGCTTTTGTTCCAAAAAGTGTGGGCCCGCAGAGTGGTTTCAACACTGGACCCCTGCTTGAAATCTCTTGGTTTCTCTGATGTTGTGTGTTTGCATATCTAATGGCTAGTGCTGCCTAGCATCCCATAGTAGATCTCGAGGCGCCCCACCCCCCGGTGCTGTAGTATCTTGATTGCGACTTTCTGGTCTATGGGTACCATGCTGCCTCCTGGGCAGTAAAGGATTATCCATGTTAGCAGCTTTCTTTTTATTATGCTGTCATGAAACACTGATTCTCTTAGACTGGGGTAGACAGATGGCCTCTCTGGGGCATGCAGCAGATGAGGGAGGAGACAAGCAGTACAGCAGCAGGTAGGGTAGGAAGCAGAAGACAAGAGTTGGGCAGAGTCCAGAGTGGGTTGGGGGAAGGGGAGCAACCTTTTTATCAGGCATTTTACAGATTAATCCTGCACCCTCCCCAAGTACCACAATCCCCTTCTTCTGCCAGCTCTACTGCTTTGATTTCTGCTCCCTGCCTGATCTCCTGCCTGTGCTTTCTGTGCTGCATGTCTTGTATTGAAAGCTACTTAGGGCACCTGTACATGCACAGGGAGTCTGCTTAGCATGTTGAGCAGACTTGATAAATTGAGCCTGCTTGAGCATGGTAATTACCAGGCTTCAGTAGACTCCAGAGTGTATCAACTTCCCCACACTGAAAAATGGCAGCCAGAGTGCTGTATTAGCTTTAATTAAAGCACCACCGCTGCCATTTTTCAGCACAAGGACACTGATCCATGAGACACTCCGGGTACTTTAATTAGAGTGGCTCTTGGAGTTACTCTTTTTAAAGCGGCCTCCCCCCACTCACTCCTTCAACATGTGTATAAATGCCCTTATGTTCCTGTGATAGTTTCTCCTGTAAGGCAGTAGAATCAAGGTCTCATTATGGTTGTTTTTATATAATTTACTTGGGTAGTGTCATTAGGAAAGTATTGTGACTTTGAGACAATTAACTTGTTTTTTAATTTATATTTGGACTTTTGTTTCATAGTCTCATATCATGGCAGCAAAGGCTGTGGCAAATACTTTGAGAACATCACTTGGACCCAATGGTATGTATGAGAAGAGGATTGAAGTAGTTCTCTTTTAGCGGGTTTTTTGGATATTCAAAATGCAGTAAGTTGCAAATATTTTTTTCAGGCCTTGATAAAATGATGGTAGACAAGGATGGTGAGGTGACTGTGACAAATGATGGTGCCACTATTCTGAGTATGATGGATGTGGATCATCAAATAGCCAAACTTATGGTAGAACTGTCTAAATCGCAGGATGATGAGATTGGGGATGGAACAACAGGAGTTGTTGGTAAGAAAATACTTCTAATTTGTTTAAAATGTAGTGAATACAGTCAAACAACTTTTTCTTTAGGAGGCTGGGGCTGCATAAATAACTCTAACGTGCTTGGAATTTTGAATTGTCCAGTATATTGGACCTTGTTGCAGCTCCTGTATCAGGAAGGGCTCATTTTTTAAGAGGAGTCTAAACTTCGAGCCAGTGTTACACCTCCTTTCTATGTTTTACTTTTTCTTGTGTTTTACAATTTTTTTTAATTCAAACTCATTTTTTTTTAAGCAAAAGAAATAAATAGGTTATCTTCCCAAAGAGCATGACCATCGGATGTATTCTAAACTTCTGTGTCATTTAAACTGTAACATTGCAGCAGCAGGTCTGTTAACCCAAATCTTTGTGCTCATAGGGTCTTGTAAGTCCAAATCATTTAAAATGTTCAGTGAAAGTAACTTGTCTGAATTTTGTTTTATAGTTCTGGCTGGTACTCTGTTGGAGCAGGCTGAACAGATGTTAGATCGTGGTATTCACCCTATGAGAATTGCAGATGGGTATGAGCAGGCAGCTCGCATTGCCATTGAACATCTAGACAAAATCAGTGACAGCTTTCCAGTTGATCCACAGAACACTGAACCTTTAATCCAGACTGCAAAGACAACTCTGGGCTCTAAAGTGTAAGTTTACATTGGAAAAACCTGGCAAATAGAGTTTGGTACTTAAGGCATTTTGAGAGTGAACTAAGAACCTTTTCATTTGCTTTTTTGCTAGGATATAGTTTGTTACATGCAGAGCTGTCCCCGGGGAGGGGGGTGCGCAGACAGTGCCGTACAGGCCCCGCAAACAACACCATTGGCATGTGCAAGGGGTGCTGTTACTCTGCGGCCACTGGTTTTGTGCTCTGGCTGCTTACTGCCCCCCACAGGCCGATGTGCCCCGGGCTCTGCACACCCCTAGTGTCGGCTCTGGTTACGTGTGTCAAGTTTAGGAAGCACTTGCAAGATAGCATATGGTACCGAAAAACTATTTTCCATGCAGGAGCAGAAAATGAGCAACATGATAAATGAACTTGCATTGCAGTACTGTACGTTCCAGTATGTTTCTGCTTCTTTTTTTTGTGAAAGACAATAGCAGATGTAATACAAATGCTCTTTAAAATCCATTACATTTGTCAGACTTTTAGGAAAGTTTGTTGTAAAAGCTATACACCTACCCTTTTTAAGTGCAGTTCTCTTTAAATGAATTATGTAAGAGTAAGTTGACTTCATTCCCATTGTGGAGTCAGTCTTGTCTTTTTTATTTCAAGTTTTAAATAATGTACTGTACTCCCCTTTTTCCTGAAAAAGTAAGCTGGGTCTTTGGCAGATGCATACAAATTGTCTCATGCCACAGTTATGGTGACAAATAAAACAAAGAAGGGGAAAATATGAAAAAATGGGGATTGCACAAATAAATGCATTAAATTATAATCTGATTTTAGAGTATAGTTTCAAAGTTGCGTAGAGGAGAGGTTTCTATTGGCCTCTGTATGTGAACTGTATAGATATAGATTAAAAAACGTGTGTGCACTTCCCTCTCCCACAGAGGTTGTAATATATAATATAAATGTGACATTTCTAAAAGCTTTAATAAAGAAGTTTACCTTTAAAAGAATTCTAATGTAGCAACAGTAATCTAGACTAGGTTTGTTTACAAACGTGTTCATAGAGTGTGGCAAGCTTATTTGCACTAGGGTTTATATAAAGTTTGAAAAATTGTAACGTGTTGCAGTAGCTTCACTCAACATACTTAATCTGGTTAATCTACAATGGAACTTGGTGGTAGAGAAATACGCTGTAATAGGTGATGTCAGAGTATTAGAAATAATTTGTGTATCCTGCAGCAACCAATTCCATTTGAAATGGCAGGGAAGCTATTTTATTTTGTGTGCTACTTTCTCATTAAGTGATGCTCAGTTTAATTTTCAGTTGGTAGGTCCTGTTGCTGCTGCTTAACTAAGGTGAAAGACCAGCAAACATTAAGAGAACTTTTAGCAGAAAAACACTTTTTCTAACTTCTACCTGACATTTGCTGTTTGTCTTAGGCCAGAGGTCATCTGGCTTGTGGGTCTCATGGAGCAGCAGGGACAGAGCTCTGTCCCTGAATTCTGGAGTACATAGTCCTGTTGAGGACACGTTTCAGTGGTGGGGTGCGAGTGACAGCTGCGTCAACCCCCATAGCTCTGTGATGGCAATGTTGCTGACCTCTCTGCTGGACCTGGTCCACATCCAGAAGATATTCAAGAAGTGGTATCCACATACAGCACCAGGACAGAAAAATGTTCCCTCTCTCTGTCTCTCCCTTAACCCAGGGGTGTCAAATTCATCTGGCCCCATGAGCCAGAGGAGTGTCCAAAGCTGATCTATGCATACTGAACCATTCCTGTGCACTGGCTCCAGTTCTTGGGGCAAGTCTTTGGGCTGAATCTGGGATGGCTCCAGAGGCAGCATGCAGGGCCAGTCTTGCAGGGCACCTCATACAACACGTAGGTTGGCACAAGGCACGTGCTGTATGAGCGCTTGCACCAAATTGGCCCTGTGCACTGGCTCCCGCACAGGAGGAATGGTCTGTGGGCTCAATTTGAACTAGCTCTGGAACTAACATATGGGGCTAGTCTGGCACACGTGCTGCATACAGGTTTGGTCTAAGACCCACTGGCCAGATCACAGAGATCCACAAGATGCAATCTGGCCTGCGTGCCTATCTTTAACACACATGTACAAGCCCAATTACCAGGATATCTGTTGTTCCGCAGCAAACATTCAAAGTTAAGTAATATTGTTGTTTGCCACTAGCAAATTATTTTCTTCAGAGGGAGAAGTCCCTTCAAAAAAATTAACCAATTTCATTTTTTTTGTTTAAATTTAGAGTTAATCGTTGCCACAGACAA